CACACAGGCTTGCAAGTTGTCGGAGCTGCGGTAAAACTTCAAAAGAGCCGCAAGCGGCTCTGGAGCTGTAGGTTGCAGACACCTGCCCTAGACTCATCCAATCTAAACTCCGCTGTCCGAAGACCTGCTCCCGTGGCCTTGGAGAGCTGGGCAGAAGGCGGCCAGCAGGCTCCCACACCTCCTGCCTCCCCTGACCCCCTCGGCAGCCTGGCTCCTTGCCCACATGGAGGGCACAATCAGCACTGAGCCTTCCCGAGCCTGCCTTGGCCCTCTGGGGTGCGAGGAGTCAGCAGGGACACACTCCCCACCCCACCGGGGCCATCTGCACTCAATTACAAGCCTTTGGAAGCAGCAGAGGGCTGTTTAGCTGCTGCTGGTTCTCTATGATTAGCTAGCTCTTGCTTTTTGAATACTGCACGTGGTGCAGCCAGCTGTAGGAAGCATTCATGATTCAAAGCTTTTTTCCCCTGCAAAAAGAAAAGTGCTAAGCTAGTTATTACTATGGGGAAGAAAGAAGTTTAAAAGTCTTAACTTTCTCACCGAAACCGGTTTGGCTCAGTGGATAGAGCGTCTGCCTGCAGACTGAAAGGTCCCAGGTTCGATGCTGGTCAAGGGCATGTACCTTGGTTGCGGGGCACATCCCCAGTGGGGTTGGGGGGTGTGCAGGAGGCAGCTGATCGATGTTTCTCTCTTATGGATGTCTCTAGCTCTCTGTCCCTGGGTAAAAAAATCAATAAAATATATATTTTTTAAAATTAAAATTAGCCGAAACCGGTTTGGCTAAGTGGTAGAGCGTCAGTCTGCGGACTGAAGGGTCCGGGGTTCGATTCCGGTCAAGGGCATGTACATTGATTGCAGGCACATCCCCAGTAGGGGGTGTGCAAGAGGCAGCTGGTCAATGTTTCTCTCTCATCGACATTTCTAGCTCTCTCTCTCTCTCCCTTCCTCTCTGTAAGAAAAATCAATGAAAATATATATTTTTAAAAAAATTAAAATTAGTATTAAAAAGAAAAAAAGCCTAAACCAGTTTGGCTCGGTGGATAGTGTGTTGGCCTGCGGACTGAAAGGTCCCGGGTTCGGTTCCGATCAAGGGCATGTACCTGGGTTGTAGGCACATCCCCAGTAGGAGGTGTGCAAGAGACAGCTGATCGATGATCCTCTCTCATCCATGTTTCTAACTATCCCTCTCTTTTCCTCTCTGTAAAAAAATCAATAAATTATATTATAAAGAAAAAAGTCTTAACTTTCTAAGTAAGTTCCTCTTTCTGTCTTTTAATTCCCTATCCTCCCAGGATAGGGACGGGTCCTTTGTCTATTTTCTATAGGCACCATCTCACCACTTGCTGCAAAGAAGCTTGCTGAGAAATATCAAGACAGCGTGAACCCAAGCTGGTTTGGCTTCATGGCTAGAGCACTGGCCTGCTGACTGAAGGGTACTGGGTTTGATTACAGTTAAGGGCATATGCCTTGTTTGTGGGCACAATCTCCAGTAGGGGGTGTGCAGGAGGCAGCCAATCAATGATTCTCATCATTGATGTTTCAATCTCTCTCTCCCTCGCCTTTCCTCTCTGAAATCAATAAAAATATATATTTAAAAAGAACAACATAAAATGAAAAATAAAAGACAACATGTAATTCCAGCTTACGCTTTATTACCCATGGTCCAAGAGACTCTACCTTACTGTGTGTGTGCAAGAGACCTGATGCTAAGGCATCCTTTTATATTTATTTATTTATTTAAATATATTTTACTGATTTTTTTACAGAGAGAGAGAGGAATAGAGAGTTAGAAACATCGATCAGCTGCCTCTTGCACACCCCCTCCTGGGAATGTACCCACAACCAAGGTACATGCCCTTGACTGGAATCAACCCTGGGACCTCTCAGTCCTCAGGCTGACACTCTATCCAGGGCCAAACCGGTTTTGGCAAAGACATCCTTTTAATGAAACCATTCCAGAGACTCGACTGCAATGTTGTGGAGCCAGGACCAACTGCTGAGCTTACCTTCTTTCTCAGGTGCTGAGCCAGGAACAAAACCCAATGCTTGGTTCACACTTGAAATCCTGCGTTCTCTGCAGGCAAGAAGCAGTTGCCTGGCTACAAGCTGGCACCAAAATCACTACGGATACTTACTAAAATGCATATTCCCCAGGCTACACCGTGGACTTGAAATCGGGGCTCCCAGGTGAGCGGAGGAGCAGAGGAGCTAGAGATTTGGGAGTCTTGTGAATGCTGATAAGGAAAGCCAGATTAGCTGCAATCCACAGGGGGGAAAAAATGGAACAGAAGATGCAGGTGATCAGCATTCCTTCTTCCTCTTACCTCTGAACTAGACAAATAAACATTTCTTTCCTCACAATATACAAGCTCGGTGGTAAACAACAGCACCAATATGCCAATAAGCACAGGGCACTCTATGGATATAAAAAGTTCTTTGTTGCGTAGGTTAGATAAGCTTAAGACTGTCACCTAAATTTTTGCAACTTTGGGAACCCATCTACATATGGAATACATAGTTCTCTATTTTATATGTTAGGAAGAGAGAAATAGCCCAGCCAGCATGGCTCAGTGGTTGAGTGTTGACCTATAAGCCAAGAAGTTATGGTTTGATTCCTGGTCAGGACACATGCTCAGGTTGCAGGCTTAATCCTCAGTCGGGGGTGTGTAGGAGGCAACTGGCCAATGGTTCTCTCTCATCATAGATGTTTCTCTCTCTCCATCTCCTTCCCTCTCTGAATGAAGTAAAAATATATTTAAAAAAAATAAAAATGCCTATTGAAATAGCTGTAAGAACCAAAAGTGTTTTCACTTTTTTAATAAGCAGTTTTAAGTGTGTCCAAGTAGAAGAAAATCTGTACCAATTAAGGGTTGTTCCACTGAGGAAAATGGGAGCCACACATGCCACTCTTTGAGGAGGGAGTTACAGATATGAAAAGGGAGAAAACTAAGAGGAACCCTGTGGTGTCAGACTGGAATTGGAGGAGGATATGAATTCATGATTTTCGATAAATAGAGACAGAAATAAATGATGTCATGTAAACACGTGTGTGCGAATACATGTATACACATGTAAATATTCCCAAGCTGACCACTGAGATGGCTTGGGACCAGTGGCTCCACAATAGTACAATAGTGTTGAGCATACCTGGCTCTCAAATCCTAGCTTGAAAATAATTTTCTACTGTTGGGCTGGAGTAGAAAAAATACAAGACAAGCGTGGAATGTCTTACTGTGCCAGAAAGCAAAGAAATGTCCAAATATGGAGGGGCGTGTGGGAGTCAAAAAGTCATAGGAGTCTGCTTGAAGGTGTTTCTGCTCATCCTGAGACTTGAAACATCTAAAGAAATAAGGATAGTAGCGGATCACCACCCAATGAATGACAGATGAAACTACAAGTCTGTACGAATACAAGTTAGTAAGGAAAGGGAGAAAGTGATTCTACAGGGGAAAACCTGCAAACGCCACTGGAAACAACTGGTCAGGCATCGCCCGCAGGGATGGGACTCCCAAGATCTGGCTCCACCCTCTGAGAGCAGTGGGCACACAGCACTGCTCCTGAGCTGTTCCTGCCAAAGATGTGTAAGTTAAACCCAATCACAAGGAAACACTCCAAATAACTGGCCTGTGATCTTCAAAAGGGTCAAGGTGAAGAAAGCCAGTGATGAGCTGAGGTCCTATTCCAGAATGAAAGACATACACAGACAGGGTAAGTAAAAGCAGCATGTAATTCTGACTACACCCTTTCCCTATGAAGGTCATTAGTGGGACATTTGGTAAAACCTGAATGGGTCCAAGGATTAGATGGCAAGATATTAATTGCAACTTCCTGATTTGATGGTTGTTTTGTGGTTCCATAGAAAAAGGTCCTTCAGTGGTTTTTAAGGAATGATTGGCCCATCAAGTCAGTAACTTACTGGTTCTGTACTTACATGGTTCTGGTTCTGTACTTTTTTGTTTAAAAATATTTCAAAAAGTACCACTTCCTTTTTCTGTTATATGACTTAAAGAATGACTACAATAATGATGAAGATGATGAGGTGGAAGATGGATATTTCAACATCAGAGTTTTATAAAATTATTTCTTGAAACAAAATAGAAATTATTTTATATAATATTATAAGTATAGCTGAAACTGGTTTGGCTCAGTGGATAGAGTGTCGGTCTGCAGACTGAAAGGTCCCAGGTTCAATTCTGGTCAAGGGCATGTACCTTGGTTGCAGGCACATTCCCAGTGGGGGGCATGCAGGAGGCAGCTGATCAATGTTTCTCTCTCCTGGATGTTTCTAACTCTCTGTCCCACTCCCTTCTTCTCTGTAAAAAATCAATAAAATATATTTTATATATATATATATATATATATATATATATATATATATATATATATACATATATATATTTTAAGTGTGTATTTTAACTGAAATATTTACTATTTTGACTTTTTTTAAAAAACAGTGAATAAATGCACTCTTCTAGGTTGAATTAAAATAGAATATTTACAGTTTTCAAAGTTTGGTTGGGGAAAAATAACAGTTCTACAAAACCTGTGCAATCCAAAATTAAGATGATATTCAGCAGCGAGAAGTCTTCCAATTTCTCATCACCCGTTCTCACAAGCAATGGCATGTATGCTTTACTTTAAGAAAATATCAAACAGAAATAGGCAAATCTGAACAAATTTATCAAGTGTAATAAATTAGAGATAAAATCACAATAAAAGAATTTATGGCTTAAAAAAAAATATTCACAAGTACAAGTCTGCTTTATCAAATTCTAAGTCTCTCCCATTAGTTTCCTCTTGAAGGTGGGAGTTACCAACATTTGGTTTACGTTGAACTTTTCAGGGACATGTGACCTGAAAAGAAGTGTCAGACACGATGCTGCTGGGTGCGCCTTCCTTATGGCCGTCCTGGTCCCGTAGAAGTGGTCAGAATCCGGTCCACGTGGCACAGAACCAAGCCCCGGTGTCGTGCCAAATACCGTTTCCTGCCCGGCACATCCTCATCTCTCCCCGGTGATAAAGAGGTGGACGTTCTTCTTGGACTGCAGCATCTGCGCGGCCCGCTCCGCGCCGACCACCGCAGCCAGCCGCTGGGCGTCGTACTTGGAGTAGAGGACGGTGCAGGTCCAGGCGGCTTCCTCTCCCCTGGTGGTGGCTCTCAGCATGTTGCAGACTTCACTGTAGAAGTGGGGATATGTGGGCAGCTCATAGAAAATCAGGTTCCTGATGCCTTTGATCGTGTACCTGTCAGGAGGGGAAGGAGAGGCCAGGTCTGCTTGAGAAACAAACGTACAGGAGAGCCACCTAAGAGATCTGCAGCTCGCTCTGGTGCTGCGTGCTGGAGGGCACCAATAACAGACCCGAGGTTATGCTCACGGGAGCTTGAAGGGCTTATTTCTGTGACAAGTCTTTGAACTCCTAATCTTTGGCTTAAGAGATGATAAAAGAAATCACATCCCTTGAGTCTGCTCTGGGTAGAATTGTGTATACTCTGAGAAGGGTGGAGAAGATAGTAGACTTGGGATTAGCAGTCTGTCAGAGAAAGCTTACAAGGCAGGCACCTACACTTTAACATCATCCTTATTATAATCAGGCTACACAGACTGTTCTGTAATGAAGATGCGGTCAGAGCCAGCACATAAGATAAACTGCAGAAACTGTAAATGCTTTCCCATTAGTCTTTTCTTGTCACTCTGCAGACATGTTAACGCCACGGCAGATGTCCCAAGTTCATCCATTTACAAAATCCTGCCTGAGGACCCATTAGGCATTATGGGAAAGCAATTAGTTTAACAGCTCATGCAATTCTTCCCCTGCTGCACAGTGGTGGTGGGAGGGAGGAGGGAGTGGTGGACCCCAGGGACTCACCATATGGTTAGGGTCGAGGTCAATCATTCCCTCGGGGGTGCCATAACAAAGATTTTGTATGTTGACAAGCTTCTGATTCTTCCTGTTAAGTCTCGCTTATACATTGCTGACGTTATGGACTCCCCTGGGAATGTTATTTTGTTCAAGAGAACACGCTTTCATTGCCTTTTTATCCCACGGCTCTTCCTGATCTCTCTGGAGACCCTCCTCTTTCAAACTGTAACTGCAGCCTGTTCTTTGGTTCACGTTGCAACATCGCCATTCATAAAGGGATTCTAATGGCTAATGAGCTTGAGTAAGCTGTTCTACCTCGCTAGTTACTGAAACAAAAACAAACATTGAGCTCCACTTCAGATGTAGAAAACTCAAAAGAACATTGCTCCCATACTAACAAGAAAACTCCAGATCGTATACGGGAACGCGTTTTTTCTTGAGCCTCCACGAGGCAACCAGGTGAACTGACTGGATGGGGTGCTGGGAAGGGAGGGTACTGATCTGAAGCATTTGCCAATTTCTGTGGTGTAAATACTCCCATGTGGCCTATTTCAAGCTACCAATGTCATGTTGCTGAACTTGGGAGTTGGGAAGAGACATGTAATGAGATCTCAAGAGCCAGGATAGGCCAGCTTCAGGCCATTAATGACTATTCCAGAGTGACAAGGCCCTCTGAAAAGAGCACATGAGAACTATCTCCCCTTTGGCAGAGAATAAGAGGAAGAGGAAGCTGCCAAGGAAGTGGGCAGGAAGAATAGCTACACTTTCAGCAATTCTTAAAGGACAAGAGTGGGCTTGGATGATAGCTTAGCTTCTTTGGGATTCCTAGACACTCCCTTAGTTCACATTCACTCATGAGCTATATGTATTATATATTGATTTCAGAAAGGAAGGGAAAGGTAGAGAGATAGAAACACCAATGATGAGAGAGAATCGTTGACTGGCTGCCTCCTGCATGCCCCCTACTAGGGGATTGAGCCCACAACCTGGGCATAGAGCCCTGAGTATTAAACCATGACTTCTTGGTTCACAGGTCAACACCAACCCAGAGCCACAGCAGCTGGGCACTCCTGAGCTCTTTTCCACAGGCCTTCACTGGTGATACAGACATGAATCCTTATATGAACTTTCCTAGACCCATACCTTACATGAAGCAAAAACCTGAAGCCAATGGGAGAGGGCAAAGGTCAACTGCTGATGCGGGAGGGTAGGTGAAACAAAGTCATCTGCCCTAAGAGAGGGGCAGTAACCATCCCCCAACTCCGTCCATCCCCACAATGTACACCAAATAAAAAGCAACAGTGGCCTGTTCCAGGGGAAACAACATGAAACCCATTCGGCCAGAGATCCCACTGACGTGAGCAGAGGCCTGCCACCACAGAGGAGAAGCAGGAACTCTTTCCCACCAAGACCCCTCCTACAGACACAATATGGCTGCCACGAGGATGTGCAAGAACCCAGAGAAAGTCCCACTTCCAAAACTCAGAATGAGCAAGGCCTGCCGAAACACGAGCCGGACAGCGAGCTCCCTCTCCTGCCTTAAGCAAGCCTTGCAGTGGGTAAGCAGAGGCAGCCTGCTGCTGGGGGAAGGGCAGGAGTGTGGAGACAGACCCTCCTCTGGCACTGGGCACCAGCCTTGGTGAAAGCTGAGCAAGCAGGATGCTGAGGAAAGGCCCTGCTCCACGTGAAGCCATCATCTGGGCTGTATCCTAGGTTACTATAGTAACAACCAAGGACTGACTAGATTCCCAACTCCCACACTAGTGGCCTCACACAAAGAGGTGTGACTGGACATAAGTACTACTGGCCTCAGCCTCTACATTTAACTGACAATTACAAAAAAATAAAAACTAAACACACACACACACACACACACCCCCCACACATACACAAAAAAAGGCAAGAAAAATACATTAAAACAATGAGGCTATATTTTGACTACCAAGTCACTGGTAACAAGCGGGGTTTTGCAGAAATGGGCCAGTGTATAAATTATTGTGAATTTTTGATAGCAGGGTGAGGGAATAGGAGGGAAGATAAGGGGAAGATGGGAGTGAGCCAATAAGTGGTAATTCAGAACAAATTTTTAATTGTGTACAGCCTTTGAGGTATCAAGTTTTTCTTTTCAAATTTATTCTAAGGAATTATCTAGGCAACTATGTCATCAACTATGCATATAACAATACTAACGGCATATTTCAAAGATCTAAAATAAACTATCCAAAAATTCATCTGGAATAAAAATAAAAATAAAAGACCACGAATACCCACAGCAATATTGAGAAAGAACAAAGTTGGAGGGATCACAATACCAGATATCAAGCTATATTACCAAGCCATGGTTCTCAAAACTGCTTGGTATTGGCACATGAACAGACGTATAGACAGACCAATGAAACAGAACAGAGAACCCAGAAATAGACCCAAGCCATTATGCTCCGTTAATATTTGACAAAGGAGGCAAGAGCATACAATGGAGTCAAGACAGTCTCTTCAATAAATGGTGCTGGGAAATTTGGACAGATACATACAAAAAAATGAAACTAGATCACCAACTTACACCATACATAAAACAAATTCAAAATGGCTAAAGGGCTTAAATGTAAGATGGGAAACCATAAAAATCCTACAAGACTCCATAGGCAGCAAAATGGCAGACATATGTTATAGCAATATCTTTACTGACACAGCTCTTAGGGCAATAGAGACTAAAGAGAAAATATACAAATGGGACTGCATCAAAATAAAAAGCTTTTGCACAGCAAAAGAAACCATCAACAAAACAAGAAAGCCCACTGCATGGGAGAACATATTTGCCAATGATATTTCAAATAAGGGTTTAATCTCCAAATTTTAGAGAGAACTCATACAACTTAACAAAAGGAAGACAAATGATCCAATCAAAAAATGGGCAAAGGACCTAAATATACACTTTTCGAAAGAAGACATACAGAAGGCTAAGAGACATATGAAAACATGCTCAAAGTCTCTAATCATCCAAGAGATGCAAATCGAAACAACAATGAGCTACCATCTCACTCCTGTCAGAATGGCTATTATCAACAAATCAACAAACAACAACTGCTGGTGAGGATGTGGAAAAAACGGAACCCTCTGTACTGCTGGTGGGAATGCAGACTAGTGCAGCCACTGTGGACGACAGTATGTAATTTTCTCAAAAAGTTAAAAATGGAAGTCCATTTGACCCAGTGATCACACTTCTAGGACTATATCCTAAGAATCCAGAAACACCAATCAGAAAGGATATATGCATCTTTATGTTCATAGCAGCACAATTTACAATAGCTAAGATGTGGAAGCAGCCTCAATGCCCATCAGCAGATGAGTGGATTAAAAAACTGTGGTACATCTACACAATGGAATATTACACTGCTATAAAAAAGAACTTTTATCATTTGCAAAAGCATGGATGGAACTGGAGAGCATTATGCTAAGCGAAATAAGCCAGTCATAGAAAGATAAATATCACATGATCTCACTCATATGTGGGATATAAGGATCAACATAATTTGATGAGTAAGAATAGATTCAGAGACAAATGCCAGGGGAGGGGAAGTTAGAGAGCAACCAAAGGACTTGTATGCATGCACATTAGCATAACCAAAGGACAGACACTGGAGTGGTGGGGGCTTGTCCAAGGTAGGAATGGCTTGGGGGACAGGGTCAATCAGGGAATAAAAAGACATATGTAAAACTTCAGATAATAAAAACACACACACACACACACACACACACACACAAATTATGCATATGGATGTTCTTGGCATTATAATAAAAGGCTAACATGCAAATCAACCAAAAGGTGGACCAGTCACTATAAAGTGCACTGACCACTAAGGGGCAGATGCTCAATGCAGGAGCTGCCCCCTGGTGGTCAGAGCGCTCCCACAGGGGGAGCACCACTCAGCCAGAAGCCAGGCTCACAGCTGGTGAGCTCAGTGGTGGTGGCGGGAGCCTCTCCCTTCTCCAAGACAGTACTAAAGATGTCCCCCATGACTCCTGGACTGCAAGAGGGTGCAAGCCGGGCTGATGGCCCCCCACCCCCTCAAATTTCATACACCAGGTCTCTAGTTGTATATAACAGCATAAAATAGAAAGGAAAATCTATAATCCTGTTAAAGGAAAAGTGGGTTGATTATATATCCATACAATATAATACTATGTAACCATTAAAAGAAGCAATACACACCCCATAGAAAACATTAATTACACAGGGAAGGTATTTTTACAATGGAGAGATGGATGAAGAACAGATCTACTTTGACCAAGTGATTATACTTAGCATCACAAAGAATGGGATGAATAAGATGCAATGGGAAGTAGACAACATCCTCTAGGTAGAATTCTTACCAAAAAATGTTTCACCTAAATCAGTAGTCCCCAAACTTTGCTGAATGTTGAATCACTTGTTTGTTTTTTAAAATATCTATGCTTGGTCCCAGCCCCAGGCACTGCGATTTAACTGGCATTGAGGTATGAGCTGGCCAGGGGATTCTAATGTACAGCAAAGTTTGGGAACCACTGACTTAAATAAAAAAACAATTAGACAAATTGAGACTGTGGGATTTTCTACAGGAAACTAAATTAGACTCTTCAAAAAATGTATCATTAAAAAAAAGAGAGAGAATTATTTTAGGTTACAATTTCTTCACCTCGGCACTGTAGAACATTTAGCAGCATCCAGGCCTCAACCCACTAGAACCCTGAGGCCATCAGAATAACCCTCCAGTTATGAAAACCAAATGTCTCCAGATATTGCCAAATGTCTTCTGGGAAGCAAAGCTGTCCCCGATTGTTATTAGTTAAACACATAAAAAGAAACATGTTAACCAAATGCAATGTCTGAGCCTTAACTGAATCTGGGATAAGGGGAAACAGCTGCAATGGTCATTTCGGGGACAACCAGCAACATTTGAATAGACACTACGTATTACATGACATTACTGTAGTAATGCCAACTGGCATGGTAACGGTGTTGCAATTAGATGATAGAATGTCGCTTTAGAAGCTACATGCTTGCTGAGGGAGGTCATCAAAAAGACTTGACCACCGGTCAGGCCATTAGCTGGCTGCTCCATTTGGTCTACAGAGAACAGGCCTACCACTTGGAATTCTATGTAGGAGCTGGATATTCTGGAATTCTCATATAGGAGCAGGGGACACTCAGAAATACCCCAGAAGCCCTTCCCAACCCCAGGAATCCCACCTCACTTCCAGAGTTTCTGACCTGCCCCCGGTTGGCAATCCTCCCTGTTGTGGAACCCACAGGTAAAGTTCAGAAAAGAATTTGGAACTCCCTGTCCCTGGAGGGCCATCCTGAGTGCCCATCCAATCCTAAGCTTCTACTCGTTTCATCTCCCCCAAAGGAAGTAAATCTTCAGATTGAATTTTTTTTTTTTTACTAGCTCACAAACTGTAATATTTCTAACACTGCCTACTTCCATAGAGAACATAAACACAGAATTTCAGAGTTGTACAGTCCAGTTCAAAACACAGGTACTTTTTCCAAGGTCAAATAAAAAAAATCAAATCACAAAGGCATTGCTGATCAAAACACCCATCATCACCTTGGTGATCTCTCAAGCAAAAAGCTCTATAGTTGGGAACCCAGAGATAATTAGCAGCTACAGAACTCTGAAACTCATTTTTTCCGCTCACCTTCAACCCAGGTCCACCTATTAACCTTCCCAGGGTGTAAAGCAAATGGCACATGCTAGGTCACGTTAGCTTAGTCTTCATGAGTTTGCAGGCAAACATGGTTTGGTAAATAAATGGCCAGTGTAAGACAGGGGGCTGTCCTGACTACTTAAGTAGGACACCATGCCCTCTAGCTGCTTTATGAGGACAGTCTTCATCCCAGCTTAATTCACACTTGCTAAGACACACGCTGGGAAGTTTTCCAGCCTACCCATTTTACCGCAAGGGCTGGCTTTCATCTGTCAAGCTAATGGAGAGCTAAGGGCTCTTAAGACTTGCTGAGTACAAGCTCCCCCCTAATATTACTCTCCAAATTGAATGAAAAGAACCTTCTGGAACAAAACAAATCTTGTCAACAGAAGGCATTCATGAACACACTCTGGCCAACAGCCTTGTCAGTTGGATGGAGCCCACACAATTGTAGCCTTTTCTCCACTCTCCACTCAGATCACCTTGTCAGCTGACTACCCAAAGAGGTCACGTCAGGGCAGCCCGCTCTGCAGGAGAGCTCCCTCCCATCCTGGTAACAAGAGCTCGTCTGGGGAGCACCATTCCAGTATCAGCATATGGGGGATGCAATGATTTTGCTGAGAAAATATGCCCCTTGTTGGCATATGTAACTGTGAGTTAATAAAAGAGTACAGACAGAACTTACATTCATTGGACATTATTGTGAATCAGGAAGGAAAAGAAATCAGGACACAATTTCCTTCTCTTTTAGATGAGGGTTCAAATAGGGCTTTTTCATTTGCAGCAGAGAGAATTAGCAAGATAACTGGGGGAACAAAGGGCTGCAATTGTCCCAAATAGTAACAGAAGGCTCAACATACCAACACTCAACACATTAGAATTGTTTTTTTAAAAAGGCCAATCTGGCTTATTTTATCCAAGTCACATGGTGGGGAAGCTAACCAGAGGCTGAAACAATTTAAAAAAACCACTTCTAAGCCCCTCACCTTTTGCCTCTGCAAACATCGAGGGGCCCCTGGCCCGGGTTCTCCTGGGAGAGGAAGTAAGTGCAGGCCTACCTCCTCATGACACAAACCTTTCTGAACACCGACACGGTGCAGCATTAAGCAAGAATATAACTTAAAAATGCCACAGTCTAAGGGGAAGGACCCTGCTTTACCTTATTAACCCTGCCACTAACTAACTATGGGAACTATGTCAGCCCCCAACCTGACACACACAACACAGCTTCTATGACAGGCCCTCCCCTCCCTGTATTCACTGTGCTGTCCCAGTTAAGAGTGTTCACCTCTGTCTTCCCGAGGTGTACAAGCACAGCTAAGAAAGTACCCTGAGTATGGACCACTCCAGATCTATACATGTTGCTGTCACTCATTATCTCCTTTTGCAACAATGCCCATTTAGGGAGGAAACCAAGCAACCAAAAGAGTCTTGTCCAGCCCCAAACCCTGGCTTCCCTGCAGGAGGCAGAGTGACAGTGGGTCCTGTAATGCCAAAAAGCCTACTATGTGCCGCCATGCTGTGTGCCGCCATGCTGTGTGCTCAGAGCAGCTGTGATTTTCTCTGATTCCCCCCGTTCCTGCCCCCCCCCACACACACACACCCCGGAGCCTTGCACTGCGGTACCTTTTGTAGAAGTGGAAGCGCTCCGTGAGAAGCAGGAACTGCCTCTCCCCGTGCAGGAAGAAGTGTCTGGCCCTGGAGATGGCGGACTTCTGGGTGTACTCGCAGATGTGCGTGAAATTCAGGTCCTCCTTCTTGAAGTAATTTCGGAGACGCACAAAGTCAAAGTAGGAGGGGACGTAGATGAGCGTGTGAGACATGACTGCATCTCGATACTGAGGCAAAATTTTGTTCACGAAGAAGTTAAACCTGATTGGGGAAGGCACAGGGCAGAGTCAGTGGGCTAGAGGTAAGCCCCGAGCGTCCTTACTCATGGAGTGACCTGAGCAAGTTGCAACCTCTCTCTACCTCCCCCAAAAGGCCAATATGGCTCACCTCATGGCAAAGTGATTACCTATGATTAAACCTTGATAAGCACATTAAAAAAATAAGCCCCAATACCATTTATCATAAAGAATAGATGCAGTGCTGGTTATCGCAGAAAATTATTCTAGGAAGTACCCAACCATATCACATATTCATTCATTCATTCATTCACTCACTCATTCCGTCATCAGTCAGTCAACAAATACTTGCTGAACACCTCCCACATGCTGAACCCCATTCTGCTACCATGGCGCCCCTGACTAAACACAATAAGGAGGAAGGAAAAATACAGAGAATCAGAAATATAGTTCTTGCCCTGAGGGCTTACAATTAAGTTGTTGCCTTGGGATACTTTGCAGCATTAAGCAAGAATATAACTTAAAAATGCCACAGTCTAAGGGGAAGGACCCTGCTTTACCTTATTAACCCTGCCACTAACTAACTATGGGAACTATGTCAAAGCACCATTTCTCTTGTTCTCACAATGGCATGACTGGGTTCAATTCTCTCGTCTCATTTGGTATATGGCAATCTGTCAAACCAGCACGGAACCCAGCTGTAAATTGGCGTGCCGCTGGGAGGGACAGGTACCTGGCGTCAATCACTGCAGCTAGGTTTTCAGCTTCCATCCTCTGGAAGACGTGTGGGAGCTGCACCAGCACATGACTGATGGAGCCCGTCAGCGGGACGTTCCTCACGGCCACCTGCCAGGAGTCAACGAGACCATTAGGCGGCGAGCTGTCGCCACCACCTCCTCTCTCCTCTCCTTCCTCCTCAGGACCCAAATGACACACAACCCTTCAGGAGACCCAGAGGGGGAACGCACCTGGCCTTGCACATTGACACAGTACTTGTTGAACACGGAGTTGATCTGGGCGTCCTGCAGGGCCCCGAACAGCAGTGTCTGCCGATAGTACTTGGACCAATTATTGAGGCTCCACATGCGCACGCGAGAGAAGTCCACCCCATGCGAGTCCAAGGGCAGCAGGTTCATGTGGTTCATCAAATGCTTTCAAACAGAAATAGCACCGCCATTAATGTTTACTAAGCAGTACCAACTGGGCACTGCTACGCATGTTATAAGTCTGTCATCTTATTTAACCCCATGGATAAACTACGTTCTATCATTTCCCAAACTGCAAGAAAACTGAGGCTCAGAGGAGTGAGTGACTGGCCCATAGTGAAGCAAATAACCCCAACAAGAAGATAAGCTGAAACTGGCCACGTCGGGGACCTTTCAAAGAGGATCAAATGGAACCTACAGAGCCTTTCCTTTAAGCTGAAACCGATTTGGCTCAGTGGTAGAGCGTCGGTCTGCGGACTGAAAGGTCCCGGTCAAGGGCATGTACAGGCACATCCCCAGTAGGGGGTGTGCAAGAGACAGCTGATCGATGATTCTCTCATTGATGTTTCTAACTCTCTATTCCTCTCTCTTCCTCTTTGTAAAAAATCAATAAAATATATAGTATTAAAAAAAAGAAAGAAAAAGAAACTTTCCTTTAAAAGGAAATGCCCCCTGGTTACTCTATCTGGGTGTAAAGTCGCACCTGGGGGTGAATCAGGGATTCACCTCAATCCCACACTTGGTCAAGAAGGAACATGACATGGAAAGCAGAGCTGCTGTCCTTCAATGACATGTCCTCAAAACATTACATTCCCAGAGCCACCATGCATGCCTCTTCTTCAAATGAAAGACAATGGATCATTATCATGTCTTTGCTATTTAAATTTTTATCTTGTAATATTGTTGAAGGGTAATGAGTACTATTAAGTTGTGCTCTCCTTTATAAATTAGTACTCCCTTTTGTCCCAAACTTCTTACAAGCAGTGGGCTTGTGGGAAAGGTAAGTTCTCATATGCTTTAAAAACACACACAACAAAAACGCGTAGTTCTGTGATAAGGATTGTTCCAAAGCATAGGTTTTTAATCCTAAAACTGACAACACTGCAGTTTGGCTCAGTGGATTAAAGCATCAGCCTGTGGACTGAAGTTTTCCCAGGTTCGATTCCAATCAAGGGCATATGCCCAGGGTGGTGGGCTCAATCCCCAGTGTGGGGTGTGCAGGAGGCAGCCAATCAATGATTCTCTCTCGTCACTGATGTTTCTAGCTCTCTCTTCCTCTCCCTTCCTCTCTGAAATCAATAAAAATATGATTTTAAAAAAATAGTGAACAATGCTTTCCCATCTCCACTGAAGACCAAACCAAAAGAAAGCATATTGACAAGAATTTGTCTCTTTGGACAGTTTATGGACCAATCTGTGGGTAATTAGAAAATGTGGATTATGTCCCTATTTCCAAACTACCCCTGCCTTTTAATCTAGACTCAATTAACCACACAGGACAAGCCAGAGCTTCCTGCCCTCTTTATGTATTGACCAGCATTACCAGGACATGCTCCCAGTTCTGCATCAGGTAAATGTCAGCTTGATCAATGATGAGAAGCTCAATGGAAGACAAAAAGTCGAAATCCCTCTTCTTCTCCCCGTCTGCGCCAATGATGGTCCTCAAGCCCAGAGGGGAGGCGATGAGGATGTCCGAGGAGTAAAAGGGGGCATAGAGCCGGATACTTCTCTGGAGTATTGCCACTCCTGCACAAAACAGCCAAGCACACATCAGTTCATTCCTCGCTAACCCGCCATTAGCTCCCACCCTCTCCACGCACCCCAACCTTGTACCTCCCAACCTTTCCCCTTCGCACAGACCATGCTCAAACCGACTTACTAAAATCACCATCCCTCCCTTCCGCTGTGGTCCCTCCTGGCTCCCACTTCCTTTCTTTTACTCTCAATCTCCAGAAAACTGCCTCTCCTCTGACATCTCAATGCACCGCAACCGGGCCTCTGATGCTAGGGAGTCGCTGAAATGGCTCTTGCTAAGGTCACCAAAAGCTCTCAGTACAATTCAATGGCACGTTAGTCTTTCTTGTCATGAATGCATAGGCAGCACTTTGAACACACCCTTCCCGAAATGTCCTTTTCCACACCGGTGCTTCGAACGCTGACTTCCATTTCTATCATTACTGATCTTTCCAGATCCAAAGAGCTCTTCCACAAATCCCCGTACACCCTCAGGTGCGACTTTCACTCTACATAAAGCTCTGGGTAAATTTATTCACTAGCCAGGGTTTTAACATCACCTCTCCACCAACTTATATTTCTAGCCCACGTCTCTTTTCTGAGCTGCAGACTCATCAGCTCGCACTGGAGCTTGGGTGCATTTTAGGTCGTGCCCGGCTTATTCACCCTAAGGTGTCTCTGCAACATGCAGTTCCCTGTCCCAAATCTTTTCCTCCACTCTGACCATGCCCATTTGTAACTGGCTACATCCTACTCAGCACCTCCACCAGGAGGCCTTCCCTAACCACTCTGTGCCCACGCTGGGTAAGGAGATCATTTCAATGCTCCCAGGACTGCCACTGCGATCTCTGATCATAACAGTTAATCATTCTGTACTGCCTGATCCCTCATGAGGCTGGACTTCCTTACTTCCTTCATAACTCTCAGGCCTCTTCAGGTTGGGCGGTCTCTCCTCGGCATCATAACTTTTATTCCTATATCCCCAGCTTCTTAACAGTGCCTGGGGCACAGCAGATGCTTAATAGTGTTTGATGAATGAGCACATTTGACTAATGAATATTTCCCAAGAACTTCTATCAAATATACAACCAACCAAGTACTTGAGAGCTCAGTGAGAGACAAGAAAGTGTGAATGATTGAATGGGAGTTAGGAAGTCTTGTGTGGTGCTAGTTGGGGTGCTGGGGGCGGGGGGGTGGCAGGCAGGAGGAGGGTCCACCACTATGCAGATGCTGTTTATTCAGCCTCCCCAGACTGACCATCACAACCCATCACCTCCAGCTCCCCAAGAACTCCTGCAGCACCCACTACGCACTACAGCTATGCGTGTGCTGAGACGTTTCTGTTATAACGTGCACGTGCCTTTCATCTGTGCCTTCAGAGACGCTGCACCCCATCAGCGTCAGAAAGACTCTCTGTCCTGGCCAACAGCATGCCTCGAATGCATGCTGGTTCTGTCGGGAGGCCGAACCAGTGACCCCTGAAAGATGCCCAATTCCAGGCTCCAGCCTCCAGCTCTGAGACCCCCACACCTCGGGGTCTCGGTTTTGACGAGGAGGAATTACCGATCCTAAAGTGGTCATCAATGTTGCCGACAAATACGGCTTCGTAATCCTCAGGCCTCTTCAGGTTGGGCGGCCTCTCCTCGGGGTCGGAGCCATACTCTCCGTTAAACCTCTTCTTGTTGCTCACGATTATTTTCTTCTTGCCGTCGCCCTCGAGGAGGCTGATGAAGAGCTGGACCACCCGCAGAGCAGCTTCCCGGAAGGGCACCACTATCAGCACCTGTCGGGGCAGCAGGCAGCCATGGTGGGGAGGGGGAAGGAAGGGCGGCTCAAGGTGAGCCTGCTGAGCATGCGCTGCTGACACGTCCTGTACCGCAGGGGCCCCAGCCCCTCTGCACAGAGCCTGACTCGGTACCAGAAGCCGAGCAGCTTTCATACCCACAGCACCATGTCCTGTGGACTTCAATCTCATGGCTCCATGAGAGGCAGTTCTCAAGCAGAACTGGGAAATACCTTTTAGGCTAAGTCACTGCCCTTAACAGAGGAGTCCGCTAGCAAAAACACGTAAGGACATAAACACACAAGCTCTTTGAGGGCAAGGAATGTGACTCACTTCTGTCTCCTGTGAAACTTAGTATTTTTACACATTAAAACCCAAGGAAAGGGACAAATGCATCACTACTTTTCTAGACATTCTGCAGTACATTTTTCAGAAATTATGATAAAACATTTGTGAAATAAGATCCTATTTTAATGGGCAAGGTAGGTAGGCCTTAGTTTTCCAAACATTTTCTAAGCAAGTTAAAGTCACAACTATTGAGGAAAAAAACAAAAATGCTTAAAAAATAAATAATTTCTATTTATTTTGTAAACAATTACCATCAGTGGAAATAACCCCATTTAGATCATGTAATTCACCATAAGCTCAATGTGCTTCCTGGGTAATCTCTTATTCCAATTCTAAATGGAAAGACATAATCTCATAACCCTGATGTTCAGGACTCTGAGGTAGTTTCTCCGGAAGGCAACCAGCATGACCAGGAGGGGACAGATTCAATGCAGGGACTATGAATTGAGGGTGAAGTGGGGCGAGTACTGTCCCGACTGTGACACTAAGTGTCTAGGCTTTGATTTCCCAGTAATCAAACAAGGAGGCTGGACTAACAAACTCTAAGAGCCCTAGCTGGTTTGGCTCAGTGGATAGTGTCTGCTTGCAAGGGTTGCAGGCTCCATCCCCAGTAGTGGGTGTGCAGGAGGCAGACAATCAATGATTCCCTCTCATCACTGTTTCTATCTCTCTCCCTTCCTCTCTGAAATCAATAAAAAAAAAAATATATATATATATATATATACATACACACATATTTTTTTAAGTGAAGGTAAGTCCTAGCTGGCATGGCTCAGTGGATAGAGTGTTGGCCTATGGACTGAAGGATCCCAGGTTTGATTCTGTTCAAGGTCATGTATCTTGGTAGCAGGCTCCTGGCCCTGGTTGGGGGCATGCAGAAGGCAATCAATCGATGTGTCTCTCTCACATCAATGTTTCTCTCTGTCTCTCCCTCTCCCTTCCACTCTCTCTAAAAATCAATGGAAAAATATCCTCAGGTGAGGATTATAAAAAATAATAATAATTAAGAGCCCTAACCGGTTTGGCTCAGTGGATAGAGCCTGTGGATTCAAGGGTCCCAGGTTCAATTCCAGTCAAGGGCATGTACCTTGATTGCGGGGACATCCCCAGTAGGGGGTGTGCAAGAGGCAGCTGATTGATATTTCTCTCTCATCAATGTTTCTAACTCTCTATTCCTCTCCATTCCTCTCTGTAAAAAAAAAAAATCAATAAAAATATATAGTATATATATTTTAAAGTATATATACATTATATTTAAAATATATATATATATATATATATATATATATATTAAAAGAAAAAAACTCCACAAGCCAGACCAGTATTAAAACTGAGGGACCCCATTCAGCTCAATGGGAATAATCTGAAAAGATGGGCTTCTTTAGCAGGCAGCAGCATGGGCTAGGGGGAGGGACAGGCGACACAGATCTAGCTCCGCAACAGCAAGGACAGTTACCAGAATCAAAGGTGTTTTCTATCACAGCCCTAAATCCAACTGCAGCTTGGGTTTGAGCCCAAATAAATGTAATTACTTTGAGCAGCAATAACTACACAATGGAAAACAGGGATTTTTCCTTTTCCAAGGTTTCCATATTTCTGTGGCTTAGTGAAGAGAATCTCTGGTTCCCGCCCCACCTCTGCCACTCCCCTCCTGGCTCTCTTTAGCAAGGCCCCTACGAATCTGGGTCTCAGTCCAGTGTGTCACAGGTGGGGATTAAACAAGAGGCTTAGTAAGGTCCCATCCAGCCCCACAATCACAAAGGAGAGATAGATAATAGAATATTACTTATGTACGTTCAAGATTTATCTTAAAGGAGAATTATCATGGAGGGGCCTCCCTATGCACAAGTTCCCAGTTAGTGCCACTGTTAAAAACCGTCCACAGAGCACTGCTCTGACACTACCTCGGCCACCAATGTGCTCCCTGCTGGCCTCGCTCATGATTCTAATCCCTGAAATCCCTGAGGGCCAGGCAACTCTGTGGCAGTGCCCTGCAGCCTCCTTCTCGAGGGCAGAGCTCTCCCGCTGCCACTCACCTTGGGCCTCGTCAGCCCCTGGTCCCGGAAGTCGTCATCATCGCCCACCCCAGGCTTCTGGCCCCGGCGCCTGCTGTTGTTGGCGAGCACCTGGGCGTTGGCTTTGAGGACGTGATTGATGGCGTGCAGGCAGTACACGTGGCGGATCTCCTCCCCGTTCTTCAGGGCGGTCCTCTCAGGGTAGAACAGGTCCCGGTAAGAATTCATAACCAGGAAGAGCTCTTTCTGCAGCGGCGTGAAGGGGCTGCTTGATTTCTGGGGGCCAGAGAGGAACTGGCTGTTGGTCTTGGTCCAGGTGGATTCCAGGGGCTTCTGGAGACAAAGTGCCTTTAGGTCAAGGTCCTTTGGGGGTTTAAATGTTTCCAACTTCTGGAACTTGGATGAAAAGACAAGCTGGCCCAGCGTGGGCCACTAGGAGAGACAGAGCAAGAGCTATGTTAGAAATGAATTGTAATACCTCCTATTCACATGGTACTTTATAATTTTCCAAGATCTTTCGTGATCTACAGTAATCTCATTCAATCCTCACCACAAGCCCGAATGCTCTTCTTACAGTGTAGGAAATGCTGAGGTTTGGAGAGGTTATAGGATTCAAACTAACTTTTTCAGTGTTATAGGAGTTATAGCGATGAAGGAGATGGGTGGTTACCAAGGATTGGGAATGGGACAAGGGGATCTTATGGTGCTGGGAATGTTCTGCAACATGACTGAGGCAGAGGGTAGCGGAACCTACTCATGTGGCAACACAGTACAGAACTAAACACACATGCAACAAAACGGAGGAAATGGCCCTGGCCGGTATGGCTCAGTGGATAGGGCACCGGCCTGAGGACGGAAGTGTCCCGGGTTCCATTCCGGTCAAGGGCACATGCCTGGATCTCGGGCTCGATTCCCACTAAGTGGCGGGCAGAGGCGACAGGTCATGATTCTCTCATCAATGATGTTTCTATCTCTCTCCCTCCCTCTCCCTTCCACTCTGAAATCAATTTTAAAAAAAATTATGTATTTAAAAAAGGAAAAAGAAAAAGAAAATGAGGAAATGTAAGACAGGTGGCCTGGCTCCCACACTCCAGCTTCTCAGTCCCTTTCTAGCTACACCTGTGTCCCACGAGGCACCTGCAGCCTCCCTGTGTCCTGCTCCCCATCAAGCCGTCCACCACTGGTGTATGTCCTGTGTCCAGGGAGACCCCAACACCCAAGACCACTGCTTTACTTAGAACTCCCCTCCCCCGTGTGGAGATGACCAAGCGACACTTACTTTTAGCTCGTGGGTAGTTTTGGGATTTGTGGCAACAGCCTGAATTTCTTTTTCTTTCAGTTCCTTGTTGACGTGTTGTAGAAATGGGTCTAATGGACAAACAGAGACTGTCAGAACACCTGCAGAAAGTGGCAGGCATGTTCTGGTCCTCCTCTGTGAATGACATGCTGCTCTTCATGTTAACGCACCCTTTTCCCATTCCTTTCCCCAAACTCTCTCCCAGTCCAGAGTGTGAAAGTTTCTGACGGGTTCATTTTGCTAAAGCACTTTTCTAATCACACTACTTCCCAGGTCAAAAACCTTCAAAAAAAAAACTTCTCATGCTGAAATTTGGGATATTACAGGACGTACCTTCAATCTACCTCTTCAAAATGTAAATTCTGAATTCACGGCCCTCCAAATATTCTGCCTCTGTGGCTTTCTTTCCATTATTATTATTATTATTATTATTATTATTATTATTTTGTTGTTAATATTTACCCGAAGATATTTTTCCATCGGTTTTTGGAGAGTGGAAGGGTGCGGGAGAGACAGAGAAGAGCAAGGGAAGGAAGAGAGGGAAATGCACAGTGCTTCTCCTCTTTCTCTTCCTTCCCTACATGGGAAGGAAGTCAGGCGTCTCCAATTGTGGAAATGGAGGCCTGGGGAAGTGGCCGCCCTTCCTACCGGTCTTAAGCTGACTGCTTTCCTCAGCAGCTCCCCCCACACTCCCGACTCCCCATGCTGCCTGACCATTGAAAAGCACAATCCGGCTGCTAAAGTGTCTGTTTTTATTGCTACTGATTCCAGTAACAAGAGATTAGTGTGTGAACCCACACCCTCCGTACTAAGCACCTGATGAATTCTGACCTTCTGATGTTTTCAGAGGACAGTGGCCTCCACTCTCCTCTTCGAGAAAGTTGGTTTCCAGGCTGAAAAGCGACTCGTGTTTTGTATCTGTGAACTCCTCCGGGGCCGCTTGCTGTGAGGTGCCAGGTGGCTCGTCCCCATCTTTTTCCTTGGGGTCAGCAGGTAAGACGTTACCTCCAATTTGGAGAAACATTTTGTAAATACAATCTGTTGACAAATAAAATCTAATTCCTTAGCTTTTTTTCAACACTGATGTCTACTGCCATCATTTACTTTTAAGCAAATTCAGGTGGAAAATAAATTTCAAGATTAAGCTTGGCTGTTGACTCAGTTCCACTTCTAGGAACTTATTCCAAAATGATAACTAGACAAAGTACACTAAACTCTACATTAAGACGGTCAACACAGCACTGGGTTTTATAAGAAATTACTGGGAAAAATGATTCCATCACTGTCTATCAATGGGGTAATTAAGTTACCCCATATCATTGACAATGGAATACTATCTGGTTAAGAAGTTAATGTGAGTCCAGTTACACACATGGAAAAAAGCCCATGTTATATTACCAAAGAAAACATTAAGTAACAGAAATGCATGAGATTATACACATACACACAAATATATGTACATACTCATACTTATATGTGTATCTATAAAAATGTAGCCTGGCAGATTATATAAAATGCTAAACATGTTTACCTCTAGGCGGTGGGGATATAGGTTAACTATACCACATTCTTGGATTTTTACAGTAAATATATATGTTACTTTCATAATTAAAAAAACAACTTGATTTTGAAAAATCCAAAATAGAAAAGAAAAATGGAAAAACAAAACAACAAAAGCACACCTCTACGTCTGAGACAATGAATTTTTATCCTATTGAAACTAATGAATTAGAATACTATGGATGAATCACAAAGGGAGGAGCTACAGGAGCCAGACACAAAAGGTTACATACTATATGCCTCCACTTATATAAACATCCTGAACAGGCAAAACTGATCTCTAGGGAAACAAAGCAGTCAGTGGTTGCCTGGTCCCTGGGATGGGAAACTGTAAAAGGACGAGAAGGAACTTTTTGGAGTTACTGGAAATGTTCGGTAGCTTCATTGATGGTAGTAACACAGGTGTATACATTTGTCAAAATCCATTGCACTATATACTTAAAATGGGTCCGCTTTATTGCATGTAAATCAGACCTCAATAAAGTTGATTTTAAAGTTAAAGAGAAGAGAAACCTAGGACTCTTAGTGAGGGAGGGTTCCTTTAAGCTTGTAATCCCAGCCCTTCTCTGAAGTTTTCCCTTGTTACATTACCCTGGCTCAGCAGCTCCTCACCACCTTACATCCAGCTGTGCCATGAAAACCTGCTTCTTGTATATTTGTGTCTCTTTCCCATTAAACTAGGTTTCTCTGAGGAACAGAAATCCCTTTAATAAACTGAGACCTTGCAGAAACCAGTTTGGCTCAGTGAATAGAGCGTCGGCCTGCGGACTGAAGGGAGCCGGGTTCTATTCCGGTCAAGAGCATGTACACTGGTTGCAGGCACATCCCTGGTAGGGGGTGTGCAGGAAGCAGCTGGTCGATGTTTCTCTCTCATCAATGTTTCTAGCTCTCTATCCCTATCCTTTCCTCTCTGTAAAAAAAACAACAAAAAAACAAAAAAACACACAATAAAATATATTTTTAAAATAACAATAAAAAATAAAAATAAATAAACTGAGACTATCGCAAAAGCAAAATTATGTTCTCTTTCCTCTATTAAGGGAAACTTTGGTGAAGTCCTGGAAATCCTAAGCAAAAATGCTACCTCTACATTTTTCTCACAAGAAGGTCCTAGGTTTTCCATCAGACTCTCAAAGGTATTACTAAGGCCAATAAGTTTAGGAATCTCTGCTTTGGATCCACGCGCTTTCACCAAACTCACACAGTGCAGGGCACTGTGCCCAGGCGGCAGCCTGTCCATGATCCTGGCACTGAGGATGAACCCAAGACACTTACTGTCCTGCATCCCAGCAGACTCTGCTGCTGTCTCCTCCTCCTCACTGACATCACTGTCGCTGTTCATTTCTGCCTCAGCTAAAGCACTGTCTTCATCGTCTTCTTCTTCTTCTTCCTCTTCTTCCTCCTCCTCCTCCTCTTCCTCAGAAACATTCTTTAATGTGGCCAGTAGTTTGTGGTACCCAGAAACTTCTTCTGGTTCACTCTCTGATTCACTTTCAGAGTTTGAAGTATCTGAGTTCTCCGCCTAAAAGGAAAATGGGAACTTTAAAAACACGATTTTATTGTTCTCGTCGCTACCTTATGCCTATCATCAGGCCAATAACATAACAAGCTCAGAATTTCCTAAATAAAAATGAGCTTTTCTGCAAATACGCAATCCTATCTATTCAAGTAAGCCTAGCACCACATGTACTTAATATAGTTAATCTAGCTAAGACCCTAACAACCATGTCAAACTCGAGGCTGGCGGCCACAAGCCTCGTTTAAGTAAAGGCACTGCACCTAAATAAGTGAAGCATGCCTCCCACCAGCTGCAGGTTTGACATGTTTGCCAGCCCTTAATCTTCTTGGAACTGCTAATGTTCCACCCAGGGAAGAAAGCTAACATAAAGCTTTAGGTTATAGAGATCTAACCTATTAGTCAGACACTTGGCCCATTTAAAGGAGCAACGGGAAAATTACAATACAAAAAAAAGAAAAAAAAAAAAAAAAAAAAGAATGCAGGCTGGTAAGCAACCCTAGCAGCTTCTAATAGATTGATCCCTTGGAGCAGTTCAAATTCTGGTTACTGTTGAAGTTATCACATGGCATTTTAAGGACACCTGCATTCAAAATGAAGCAACATCGCTAAAATAACAGCTTACATCTAGAATGAAAATGAAATTCTAGAATTGAAAAGAATGGAAATGCAGCCAAATTTTATTACTACATACCAGAGGACAGGTGTGCACGACATTCATGCACTGGGGGAGTAGGGGATGTTCCTTAGCCTGGCCTGTGCCCTCTTGCAGTCTGAAATGTCACCACAGCTGCGCTCGCCAGTCATGGGCCATGGGCCATGAGCCATGAGCCATGAGCCATGAGCCCGGCTTCTCTATGAGCAGTGCTCCCCCCTGTGGAAGCGCACTGACCACCAGGGAGCAGCTCCTGCGTTGAGCGTCTGCCCTCTGGGGGTCAGTGCGCATCACAGCGACCCAAACTTCAGCCGGTTCAGTCGATTTGCATGCTGGCCTTTTATTATATAGGAGGATAGGATCATTTTAAAAGTAACAACCCAGAACCAACTATCATAAAGAAGGGAGAAAGCATTACCAGTTGACAGATCTGCGGTTTTGCTTCCTTGCTGGAAACCCTGGGAAGAAACAGGTAATGTTTAACTGTAAGTATGTTGCAATTAGAAAAAACGTCTGATGACACAACTATCAATGAAAAAGGCAGAATATACCATTCTAGACACATTATAACTACAGTCATGTAAAAACAACACGTGCACTGCGGACTACAATGGTAAGAAGATAGCAAATAGGTAACAGCTGACAAATGAAGTTTCACGTGGTCCCATCACAAACACTAGTTCACACCACAACTGGCCCTCCTCCCAAAGATGGCTACATTTGGCAAATGAGAGGTCTCAGGTTCACCGTTTCTAGCCAATGTCTTCATTAGAGCATCCCTCTCCGTCACGGATAGAGCGGCCCAGTGGTGGGCGCAGCCTGGCACTCAGAGGAACCCACAGCCACCCACACATCAGTGCGAAGGTCCAAAAGCAAATCAGCTGGAGCCGGTTTGGCTCAGTGGATAGAGCATCAGCCTGCGGACTGAAGGTTCGATTCCGGTCAAGGGCATGTACCTTGGTTGCAGGCACATCCCCAGTGGGAGGGTGCACAGGAGGCAGCTGATCTAAGTTTCTCATTGATGTTTCTAGCTCTCTATCCCTCTCCCTTCTTCTCTGTAAAAAAAAAAATCAATAAAATATATTAAAAAAACAAACCAAAAAAAAAAACACACACATTGATGTGGAAACTCTTTCTCCATAAAAACCAGCCGACGCAGCGGGAGTGTGGTCAGCATAAAGCTACGGGCTCGACAAGAGGTAGGAAGACCCGTCTCCCGCGGGAGCTGCCCCTCGCCATCCCCGGAGGCCGGCGGGCCCAGCCCGGGGAGCGCGCCCCGCCCCGGAGAAGACGCAGGCCCCTCCGTACCTGTCATAGAAGGGATGCTCCTCGCCGAAATCCCGAAGATGCTTCTTCTGCTTCTTGGTCAGGGTGCTGAGCAGCTGGCTCTGGCTGCGGCTGCTGCGCTTCCCCATCGCGAGCGATCCCGCCGCGTTACCCACCCGGGAGCTTGTTCCTTCCTCCCACCGGCGTGGGTTCGCCGGCGGCGCTTGACGGCGGAAGCCGGTTGCCGTAAAGCAGGCCAGCTTTACGGCGCGCTTTTACGACAGGCGTCAGAACTTGCTAGTTCCGACTCCGCCCCCTAGCGAGGCTCGCTGGAAGCACAGGCGCGCGTGCCCTTGGGTTCTAGTCCTGGAAGTGGGCTGGCTGGCCGGCAGGCGGGGGCTGCCAGGCCTGAATGAAATGGGGGGCCTGCTTTGTGCTTCTGGGTGGGCTGTGGGAGTCCGCCTGCATAAACATGCAGTAGCGGAGACGGTTATATTATAACATGATGGAAATACCGACCGATATGTAAGGGTGCCCGCACATCTCACTTCATCTTCACCACACGGTAGGACTAAATTACCTGTCTCAAAAATCAACTCTTGGCAAAGGGGAATGGAAAACATTTTAAGATGGAGTAATATATATATATGTGTGTGTGTGTGTGTGTGTGTTAATTACATATATAATAAATATATAAATATAGTATATAGTATATAATATATATCAATTATATATATAACTGATTATATATATAATTAATTTCAGAGAGAGAGGACAAGAGGGATAGAAACATTAATTATGAGAATCTTTGATCAGCTGCCTCCTGCTCACCCCTACTGGGGATCAAGCCTGCAGTATAGGTACATGCCCTGACCTGGAATTGAACCTGTGATCTCCTGGTTCATGAGTTGATGCTCAACCACTGAGCTACAAGGGCTGGGCTATTTTATGTCTTGATCATGGTGGCAGTTCACTTTGAGTACAATTACTCAAAGTAATCACGCTGTACATTTAAAATGGTTGGATGTTGATGGATGTAAATAATAACCTCTATAAACAACGAGGAAAAAAGCATAAAACAAAACTGGACTGGTACTCCGGGGACACGCAGAGTGTGCAGGCGACTTGAGACCACAAGAGAAACACAATGACACATTCCTCCTCATGATCCTTATATACGATCACGTCCTATGAAAACAAAGTGTCCACAAAATTCACCCAAATTTTTAAGGTGAAACAGGAGCCTGTTCCCTTGGCTCTGCTACAGAGTAGGGGGGGGAGGGAGATAAGGGAGGGGGGGAGAAAAAGAGAGAGACAGGGTGCTTCTGTGGGAAAGTGTGAGCTTTGCCCAGGGCCATGTCACACCTGGCAAAGTTGAGCTGGCACTACAAGGATCCCAGTCGTGTCAGTTCTGGTGGCCATCTGCTTATCCTAGTTGTTCTGGGAGCTGGGGTGGGGTAGGGAGGGCCGATAAGGGAGTACCAAGGAAATATGCAAACCGAGGGAGATGCCAACAGCTGGCCCAGCTAAGGAAACCATAAACAGACATCTGTCTCTGTCTAATGTCAAGATGAAAGGTACACATCACTTACGTCAACAAAAGGCTGTGTGCAGAATGTTGTCATATGCTTTAAGGCACTCACCACAGTCTAACCCGGCTGAAACAATAAAGACTCAGTCTTTTTTTGTCTTCTTCCCACCCTGTGCCCAGTACCTCCGCTTCTCTCCCCAGAGGCAACCAGTTCCTTGGTATCCTTCCAGAAATCTATAAAAAGCCACGCTCTTGAGCAATTGGGGTGACTCCTCACCCTCCTAGTTCCCACATCCTGTGGTCCTGTGGACAGGTCTAGACGGTTCCCAGGTTCAGGCAAGCATGTGCCCAGCTCCACCCAACGGGCTTCCTCATGGGTTCACTGAGCGGTGGAAAAGGGGCCCCTCTTCTCCTGAAAGTACTTATATTAGCCTTTGATGACGTAAAGGGGGACCTTTGGTGACATTTTAACCTGAGACTTCAGAATTTGAACTTTTTTTCCCCCCACACGTCTGAAGTCAAAGTTCTCTTAGGAAGAGTCACACAAAGAAGTTGCATGTGCCAACTAGGGAAGGCCCTGGGAGAAGTGTGTTGAAAGCAATATTTGTTCACTTTCTGTTTCCCACAGGTAGCCTTTCTTTTCCTTCCTCCAAGGGTTTTCCTTCACCTTTACCCTCAGGCACACAGCATTTTCTGGGCTAAAGATAGTCCAGGAAGTAGTCTTTGGTGCTAGTTCGCAAAGAGGGGTTTCTGAATTAACTTACTTTTCCCAGGGGATTTGCAATTCCCCCGAGACTTCCCAAGATAATGTCCTAAGGCCATGGTCGGCAAACTGCAGCTCTCGAGACACATGTGGCTCTTTGGCCCCTTGAGTGTGGCTCTTCCACAAAAATACCACGGCCTGGGCAAGTCTGTTTTGAAGAAGTGACATTAGAAGAAGTTTAAGTTTTAAAAATGTGGCTCTCAAAAGCAATGTCAATCGTTGTACTGTTGATACTTGGCTCTGTTGACTAATGAGTTTGCCGACCACTGTCCTAAGGCATCTTTTAAAATAAGAATTTCAGAATGTTCAGGAAGGAATGAATACATTTTTTATTTTTATTTTATTTTTTAAATATATTTTTACAGAGAGGAAGGGAAAGGGATAGAGAGTTAGAAACATTGACCAGCTGCCTCCTGCACAGCCCCCACTAGAGATGTGCCCACAACCAAGGTACATGCCCTTGACCAGAATCGAACCTGGGGCCCGTCAATCCACAGGCAGACGCTCTATCTGCTGAGCCAAACTGGCTAGGGCAATTGTTTAAATTAAAAACGTTTTTTTGTGGAAAATCTCAGGTATATACGAAAGTAGACAATGATATAATGCACCCCGTGTGCCCATTGCTCAGCTTCACCAATGACCAGCACAAGGCTATCTTGTTTCATATATGTGCCCACCACTGCCCCTGACACCCCTTTGCCTTATTTTTTAAGTAGTAAATCCAAGACATCAGATTATTTCATCAGTAAATATATTAGCCTGCATTTCTAAAAACAAGGGTTATTTTTTAACATAGTCATATCAGCGTCATTTCACCTAAAACTATTTAATATCATCGTACATCAAGGACAGTGTTCAGATTCCGATTGTCTCATAAACATTTTTTTAACACTTTGCTAATTTTTTTTTGTGTTCTAATGCTCTCTCTATTTCTCCTGAATAGGTTGTTGGACCTAGGACTTTTATTCAGACACTGAATTTTTCTTTTTCTTTTTTCTTTTTTTGAGAGAGCGAGAGACAGAAACATCGATTTGTGATTTGTTGTTCCAACTTATGCATTCTTTGGTTGATTCTTGTACGTGCCCTGACCAGGGACGGAATCGGCAAAGTTGGCGTATCCAGACGATGCTCTAACCAACTGAGCTACCTGGCTAGGGCAGACCTAGAACTTGGATCAGACTTCACTGTAGTTGGCATTTTACATTTCCACCAGGAGGCATAGAACGTCTGGTTGCCTTTCACTTTGTGCTGTTAGCAGCCACTGGTGCTTAATGTCTAAATGCGTTTATTCGAGATTGCATTCCACTTCTATCATAGGGGGAGATATTCTAATTCTTTCTTTTTTTTTTTTTTTCCCCTTCACTCACTTGCTGAACTCTTTCCATAGTGACAGACTTGTTCCTTATCTAAATGTTGGTTATCCAATGATACAGTTTATATAGGGAAGGCAGAACGAATTACTCGATTCTCTCCCTTCACTAATTCTCAACACCAGAAGTCAATTCACTCGATCTTCTAATGGTTTTGCATCCAGTTTTCATTTTTATTTTTTTAGTATCAGTATTAATTCACGGAGTCATACAAATGGATGTGCTTTAATTCCTTGCAAACGTGACGGTGTATGTGGCTTGAGAGAGCTTATTTAATATTTAGCTCTGCATTCAAAAAGACAGAAGCAAGCCACTTTCTAAGGCAAGCTACAGGAAGTAAGCAGCGGTCTAGCTGAGATTCTCAAAAGGGGGTGGTGAGGTCAAAGCTTGAAGATAGGAATCGAGATACCGGGGGATGTTTGCATTTTGAAATTTATGTGATAGCAGGGCACACAGATTCAAGACATGTTGACAGGGAGCTATATATAAGCCAAAGGTATGACGCTCTAATGATGTAAATTCAGACATCCCAGCCGCTGATTTGGGAAGATTCTAGGGAGGGTGTGTGTGTGTGTGTGTGTGTGTGTGTGTGTGTGTGTGTCCAGGCATCTGAGTTTACTAAGTACATGTATGTGTCTATACACACCCAGAGCAGTCTAGCCTCTCCCTGCATGTGCTGGCAGAAACCAGTCTTTGGGTGCGCTTATAGTGAAATGAGCTTACTGATGTATTCAAAAACTATTTCGTAAACACTGTGTGCCAGGTGCTATGCCAGCAGCGTGGCGAGGAGAGAGAGGAAGAGCCATGCCGGCCTCCTCACGGAGTTTGCAGTCTTTTCCAGATGGGAATAAGTGCACAGGTTATCACAGTACACTGGGATACATGCTGAACCCAGACACCTGGGTACCAGGGACGCAGGGAGGACAGCGTTTGGGGCTGGGGGCCCGTAGGGGTTGGGAGAGGGAATCTACTGCCATCGGTCATTTGTCAACCAGTCACATTCATTGAACATTGGTACTGAACTCGAAGTTGCTCTAGATACTATATCTCAGGCTGTACGAGTTGTTTCAGCTGACTTTATAAACAGCGTGTGTGCCTTCAAGACAGGGTATGAGGGATGCGGAACAGGAAATTGGAAAGCTGTGTAGACATCAGGTCCCACAGCACGGATGGAGCAATAAGCTTTCTAGGTGGAGAACATTTTAGAAAACGAGATTTTGTCTGAGAAAAGGAAAGCTTTGTCGTGCTCTTAGACGTACTCTACAAACAGAAATGCAAAATGTCATGTACGGTTCCTACCCTTTCTGTTCATCTGCGCCCTTAAGAAGTTGCCCATTGTCAAGTCTGGTGTATAGTGACCCTTAATACATGTGTTTCCTCAGGTCTATCAGAGGTTGATATATATTAGGTCTAGCCTACAATTGAAATGTTTCATCAGAATATGTTAATCTAAAAAAGAGCATAAAAATGTGCTAGAGGGGAAAA